AGTATGTTGGCTGTAGAAGGTCCTTATTTCTTCAGTTTCTGTCTTTCTTTGACTCCCTGGTTATTTTCATGTAATGTAGCATCTAACGTTCCCCACTGCTGCTCCCCTGGCTTGTTTGATCCCTTTTATATCTCAAAAGAGATTGATTTAAGAAACACAGTACACGAATCCTTACTAGCATAACAAAGGAAAACTCTCCCAAATGGGTATTTAACTACAGGCCTAAAGGTTAGGATTTGCAACACATAATATGGGGACAAATTTCAGTCCATAACAGATGTTTGCATATGTTTTATCAACTATGCAAAGACATTGGATTTATGGATCATAGTAAACTATGGATACCATTACTAAGAATGGTGATTTCTAGAACACTTCATTATGATCATACAGAACCTGTACATAGATCAATAAGCAGTAGTTCGAACAGAGGGAAGCTGCATAGGTGTGCAGCAGGTGTCTATCTTATCATCTTAATTATTCAATCAGAATCTTGGTGTGGTGCTGTGGGTTAATACACCGAACTGTAAGGTTGGTTTGAACCACAAGGTTGGTGATTCAAGCTCACCAGCCACTCCTTGAGAACCCTATACAGGATCGCTATGAGTTGAAACAGACTCACAGGCACTTAACAACAACAACAAAAAAAAACAATGCTAAGCAAATATTTTCAAAAAGCTGGACTGTAGAAGAACACAGCCTCTGGATTCGAGAAAGACTCCTTAACAGCCTGCAATGTGGAGATGACACAGCTTTACTTGATGAAAGCAAAGAGAATTTGAAGCACTTGCCAATGAAGGTAAAAGCCTTCAGTCTATATTACACCTAAATGTGTAGAAAATGAACATCTTCACACCTGGGCCCATATTATCATGATAAACAGTGAAGATATTGAAATTGTCAAGAATTTCATTCTACTTAGACCAACAATCAAATCCAATGGACACAATAATCAAGAAAGCAAAAGATATGTCACATTCGGCAAATCTGTGGCAAAAGCTTTTTAAAATTCTTTAAGAATTTTGCTTTTTAAAAGCAAAGATGGCCAACTGATTTTTTACAAAGTACCTAAATATATCGCGTGGGGGAGCAGATAGTCTCTTCAACAGATGGTGCTGGCAGAACTAGAAAGCGATATGCAAATGATTGAAACAAGACCTTTACCTTACGCCTTATACAAAAACCAACTAAGCATGGATTAAAGACCTAAATGTGTGAATCCGAAAATTATGAACGCCATCAATGAAAAAATAGGGACAAATGTGAGGGCTCTAATTCAGGGAATACACAGACTACCAAACGTTTTGAAAACTACACAAATAACAGGAGACAAAATAGATGATTGGGACATACTAAAAATTAGAAACTTATGTGCATGAAAAGACTTCACCAGAAGAGTAAAAAGGGAACGGACAGAACCAGAAAAAGTCTTTTGCAATGACATATCAGACAAGGGACTCATTTCTAAAATATATAGGAAACTACAACAAGTCTACAAGCAAAAGACAAATAACCCAATTAAAAAATGGGCACAGGACATAAGCAGACATTTCACTAAGGAGGAGATCTGGGCAACCAACAAACATAAAAAAATATACATGATCAGTAGCCATTAGAGAGATGCAAATCAAAACAACAATGAGATATCATCTCACACCAGCAATAACAGCAAAGATTTAAAAAAGCAGAGGACAATAAATGCTGGCAAGGATGCAGAGAGACTAGGATGCTCTTGTATTGCTGGTGGGACTGCAAAATGGTCCAACCTCTCTGGAAAGCAATATGGCACTTCCTCAGAAGGTTGGAAATAGAAATACCGTATGATTCAACAATTCCTCTACTTGGTATTTACCCACAAGAAATACGAGCCACAAAACGAGAAGATATATGCACGCCAATGTTCATTGCAGCACTATTTACAATAGCAAAAAGATGGAGGCAGCCAAAATGCCCATCAGCTGTAGAATGGATAAACAAACTGTGGTACATACACATAATGGAATGTTATGCTACCTTGAAGAACAACAAGGAAAGCTGTAAGCTATCACATAACATGGATGAACCTTGAGGATATTATGTTGAGTGAAATTAGTCAGTCACAAAAGGAGAAATACTGCATAAGACCACTACTGTAAAAGACTAAGAAAAAGAACTCATCCTAAATGGGTGAGGGGATTCTTTGCTGTTTACCGGGATGTTGGGGGAGTGGTGAGGGGAAGGTGGAGCACAGGGTAGGGAATAGATTACAGGATAGTTTGGGTGCTAGGGAGGGGGGCAATACAAGAGAAGTGGAAGGGGAATGGAAGAACAAAGTGGATGGGAAAACAATTAGGCAGGTTTGCATGTGCTAAGTGGGACAGAGGTAAATAATGATGTATGCATAACCTTGGAACAACAGGGCTCTAGGATACAGGGATTGAGGCATAGTTGGAATGGGCAAAAGTGGGGAAATAATGTTAAGATGCTTGGCTGTCTTTTGAATCTTGGTTTCCCTGGCATACCATTATAAAATAGACACTTGAGGGGGAGAGAAAGGAATAGCCAGAAATATTACAATAGAAAGCCTGTAAGTCTGTCTTCTGCCTATAACTGATTGGAATACCTAAAATGGGGCTGCAGCGTGCCCAGTGAAGGAAGCTTCCTGCAGAGCTGCTGCATTACATAAGACCATAGGTGGGATCCTGAACTCCATCCAGAATCTTCTGAGGTGGGAAGTTTCCACTTGAAAGGACAAACAGACTAGCCTGGAGTGGCTAGAAGAACAGAAGATACCTCCTAAAAGACCAGAAAAACACAAAACAATATAGGCCGGCTAACTAATTACTGCAAGAACAAACAAGTGGCTTGTCAAGTTGACATCAAGGCAAGTGGTTGGGTCCCCTCAAGGCAAACCCGCTTCTAAGACTAAGGCTCAATGGGAATGCACACTCTGATTGGTGACCACTTTCCTCACCAACAAGGGAAAATGAGGGAAAAACAGCAATGAAGTTGCAAACGAAGCCCTACAATGTTCAATAGACTCCTGTGAATCCTTTTGGGGACCTGGTTGGCCAACAGTGTTGCAAGACCTGGGGACTCTTGGGCCCAGAGTCAGAGACATAGCCACAGAGGACTAGAGTGGAGAGTGAAGTGTCCAGCTTATAAGAAGAGAGGGCATCTGAACAAGAACACCCATACTTGCAGATAATATCCACTTGACCTGCTTTCAATGGCTGGATGATCAGAGCTCAATTAGAAGAAGGAAGAAGAGGAGAAAAAGAGTAATCTGATACAGTTTGATGAACTTGACCTACACCTATGGATGCAGTAGCTCAAAAGAGGGAACAAATCTTTATAGCGAGGATCATTCCCACCCCTCCATACACAGAGTAGCAGGGATGGGCAGCTTGAACATTGGCTACCTAAAATGGGGTGGGCTACAAAGGCAAGAAGTGACTGGCTTACAAGCTTTCAAGATACAGAGGGTGTGGAGGAGGTAGAATCTCCACTTAGTAGTATCCAATCTATTTAGGCAGGGCTGATGAAAGGAAATGCGGAAAAGTCTCTTGTGTGATACAATAGTGAATAATTGTTACCAGGACTGATTGTGAGGGTTGGAAATGTAAAGGCAGATGTTTTGTAGAGCAAGGACAGGAGTGATAAACTCTGCAGACCAGGAGCAGAGGTCCCTGGGACCATCAAGGGAGAAGAACGGAGAGTGGGTACCCAGAGAAGCAGTGATGCCAGAGATGGAGGCAGAGACGATGACGTGGAGAGATGAAGCAGCTGGGGACTTTAGAGAGGGAGAGGGGCTGTGTGTTGATGACTGGGGGCAGGCTTTGGTGGGTTGATGATGCATGGAGGAGATTGTAACCATGGCAATGAAACAATATATAATAGGATGAATGTAAAATTAATGTTCTCCCATGTAAATTATCACATAATTCACAATAAAACATTAAGGGAAAAAAAAAGGAAAACCAAAGAATTGACACATTGTGGTTTTGTCCAAGAATATTGAATATACCACAGACTGTCAAAGGATGAACAAATCTTATAGAAAGAACAGTCAGAATATTCTTTAGGAGTGGGGATGGCTAGACTTTGTCCTGCTTGCTTTAGACACATCATCAGGAGGGACTAGTCACTGCAGAAGGACTTCAGGTTTGGTACAGCAGGGTCAGCAGGAATGAGGGAGACCCTCGAAAAGTTCAGTTGACACAGTGACTGCACCAATGGTTAGACAAGTAGCAATGACTGAGGATAATGCAGGGACTCATTGCTTGTTCTGTTGTTTATAAGGTTGTTATGAATTAGAGTTGACTCAGTGGCACCTAACAACGGAATGTTTTAAAATTGTTTTCCCAGATTTTAGCAGGTATGTGGAGAAGTTGAAGTAAATTTCTGTTAGAAGGACTTTAATAAATGTTTTAATCCAGTGCAGTCATTCTAGTCTAGTGGCATCTAGAGCGGTAGGGAACAAGGGTCATGGATAATAGGCATAAGGAAGTGATACCTAGGACCCAAGACCATTGAACACTGTGTGCGAATAATAGCACATATAGACACACATTTTTTTGTTTGTTTGTTTGTTTGTTTCCTAGGTAGCATAGTGATTATGAATCGGGCTGCGAACCACAAGGTCAGCAGTTCGAAACTATCAGCTGCTCCGTGGGAGAAAGATGAGGCTTTCTGCTCCCGTAGAGATTTACAGCCTTGGAAACCCTGTGCAGGGTCACTATGAGTCGGAACCGACTCGATGGCACATACCAACAACAATGTAGAGATCACTCACTTAAATTTTAAGTTAAGCTCTTTTATGAGCCTCCATCTTACAAAAGACCTCTAGGATTGTTTACTATTTGGGCTGTGGAGTATTTAAATATTTCCATCAATTTTTATCGTCCCATCTATTGAGGCTTACTTAATATATTTATATATATGTGTATGTGTGTGTGTATTCATATTTTTTTCTTTTTTCTGTTTCTCACAATATGGTCTCCTCACACCTGGGACTGAAGACTGCTGTGTCCACTGTATCCTGGCATGCTTGTTCTGTGAATTCCTGACCCTCTGCAACATTGTGCTGGGCCAAGCTTCGTGCGGCATCTGCTCCTCAGAAGTCTGCTGCTGTTGCTGTGGAGATGATATGGGAGATGACTGTAACTGCCCTTGTGACATGGATTGTGGCATCATGGATGCCTGTTGTGAATCATCAGACTGTTTGGAAATCTGTATGGAATGCTGTGGAATTTGCTTCCCTTCATAAATATTTATCATTTGTTTCATTTTAAAACTGGAGAGTGTTTTAAAGGAAAAAAAAAAAAAAAGTACAGGGTAAGATTCTCATGAAACCACCCAGTACTTGCACTGTTTACTCATTATTTTAAGTAATCTCTGAAAGTCTAGTTCTCTGACCAAATCTACATGGTTTAATATGTGAAATGTTAACTAGGTTTTAACTTTTTTGTAGGTTACAATGACTGAAGGTCATTTTGATTCCCCCCCCCCCCGAAAAAAAAAAAAAAGTTAAATGTTTTCTCCTTTTTAATTGATATTTCTGTTTCTTTTAACTATTCTCAGGAGCCCTTTGCTCCAAATACATTTTTTTCTCAGTGGGTATTTAAGCCAGACAGTTTATTTTTGATGTTTATATATAAATAGTTAAAATAAGCATTCTTTGCTTTAGGGTAAACCTTGGGAACAAGCACACACAACAGTTGGGGACCTGTGTTGGCCTCCTTGCGCCCGTACCCATGGAGACATTCAGTACTCATCCACAGGAGTATGCCATTTAAAAAAACAGCAGACAATACACTGCAAATCCAGTACTGTTGAATCAGTTGTGACTCATGGTAGTCCCACGTGGTATAGGGAAGTGCCATTAAGTCGCTTCACTCATAGTGATCCTGTATAGGGTTTCCAGGTTCTGGGTTAGTGGTCAAGCACAAATTATTTGCACCATTTCAGTGCAAAGGCTATCCAATTATTGTCAAGTTGATTCCAACTCCTGCTGACCCAGGTGCCTCTGAAGGACTCTATTCCACGGGGTTTTCAATGACTGATATTTCACAAGTAGATGGCCAGATCTTTCTTCTGAAGCATCTGTGGCAGGACTGGAACCTCTGACTTTTGGGTTAGCAGCCATATACTCCAACCATCTGTACCATCCAGGGACTCTTTGAGGAAAGACACTCATGAACAATGAGCATACAAGGCGTAATGTAACAAGGATTATAAAAGAGAGAAACTCAAAAGGCAATTTGGACACAGACAGAGTGTCATTTTCCCCCAGAAAATCCAGGATAGCTTCCAAAAGGACATGACATTTGAGGAGTCCTGGTGTGGTGCTGTAAGACACACACTGCAAACTGCAAGATCGGCAGTTCAAATCTACCTGCCACTCCTCAGAAACCCTCTAAGGGTTACTATGAATCATAACCAAATCGTTAGCACTGAACAATAGAATCGCTATGGTATCCTGGTGGCACTGTGGGTTAGGGATTGGTCAGCTAACCTCAGGCTTGGTGGTTCAACCCACCAGTCCACTCTGTGGAAGAAAGATGAAGCTTTGGCTCCCATAAAGATTTAATCTCAGAAACCCTATATAGAGTTGCTCTGAGTCTGAATCCACTTGATAGCAATGAGTTTGGTTTGATTTAGTAGGACTGCTTGATGGAGTGTTTAATTAAAGCACTCAACTGTTAGCTAAAATAAAAAGCTCAGTGGTTCAAACCCACCAGCCACCCCATGGGAGAAAGATGTGACTGTATTCTTCCATAAAAATGTCCAGCCTTGGGGACCCTCTAGGACACCCTGCTGTGTCCTTTGGAGTCGCTGTGATTCAGAAATGACTTGGTGGCAACAAGTTTGCTTTAGTGTCATTTGTTTCTCAATAGGATCACTTTAAGGTTGGTAGGAGTAGTAATAGCCACAATAGGATGCTAAGCAAATTCATCTGCTACTTGAATGTGCTCTTTAGATTTAGGACAGTGTTTTAGGAGGAGAGTACGAACTGTTTGTATCATAATTCGTTAAAAGAAACATGCCTGAATTTACTCTCATTTGTTTTCGTTGACAGGTAAAAAGACAGCTCTTTTTTTGAACTATAAAATTTAAGATTAACTAGAAAAATCAAATTTTCAGACAAATATTTAAAGTGTTATGATAAAGTTTTGGATTAAAACAAGATAACCTTATTAAAATATCCATTTTATAAAGAATCTGTAGTACTTGTAATATATTGTATTTAAATTAAGAGGGTTGTTTTTTGTTTTTTTTTTTCAGTATTCTGATTTTGATTTGTTCAAAGACTGAATTTTTTTTGTTGTTGCAAGTTTCAGCCCCTCTTTTTTCTCCTGTCATTTTATTGTCTTCTACTGTGGTTTGTTTTTATGACCAATGTTATACTTTGTAAACACAGTGAAATCTAAATGCAAATCATTCCTTCCAATGTGGTAGAAATCTGGTAGATGCCTACTACTATGATCTAAGTTTCACTATTGTGATGTAATGTTAAATTAACCCATTTTAGCAAGTTATAAAAAAATTCAAGTGTAAAGAAATAAATCATGTACATGACGAATGAGAGAGTTCTTGAGCTGTAGAAACTTTGTGTGGTTCTGATGAAGGAGAGGATTTTCATACCATGTACTCTCCTACTGCCTCAGAGCTCTCCGAAATTGGTGTTTGGTTTGATTAAACATATTTCCTTGTAGAAGTTTTGAAAGTGCTCTTCTAGATTAATAGTTAATTTATCATCAGTTTTTCTGATGAATATCAAATTGATAGCAAGAATAAAAGAAAGCATATTCTCTGGAAACCTTTCACAACCTAGCCACTTAGAAGAGATTTTATATCTAAAGCATGGGAATGCCACCTATGGTTTTTATTTTGATATGAAACCTAATTTCTACTTCTGTCATTAGTTAAGAGATTTGAAAAAGGAAAATAAGGTGGCAAAACTGTTGAATCCTTTTTAGGGTGTTATTTGCACATGGTAAAAAAAATAGCCTTTAAATTGTTGAGATTAAGTAGAATTCTATTAAACAACAATCATTTTCTTCCTTTTCTAAAATGTCTTTCATTTATTACACCAAGAGAAGGAAAGCATTGTACTATTGCTTAGTAACCAGAATCTGAATATTTACATATACCCAAATCTAATTTATGTTTATGTATTAGAACATAAGATTATCATCTAATATTAGGCTTATAATGCCTTCTAGGGACCCGAATTGCTAGAATATTTCATTTTCTCTCCTGTAAAATGTTCAAGCAAGTTGGTTGTCTAATATTTAAATGTAGTCTGCTACTATTTGTGATAAAAATACTAGCACCTTTGAAATTATGTTTGTCTGTAATAAAGAATATTAGTGGATAGTGGGATTTTATGTTCATATTTATATTCACAGTACTTCTCCTTTAATGTCTACTTCAGGCAACCATTTTATAAAGCAACTTGTATAATTTTTTTTAAATGCAAAACGTACAAGTAGGAAAATGTGAAAAGTTTCAGCATATTTTAGAATTTCTGGTTGTAACATGTTTGTTGAATTGTATGGCCATCACGACTAAGTGCTATAGTTTACAGTTTTAGATCTAACCTCTTTTCAATGTGGAAATTTAATCAGAAATGTTTTTAGACTGGGCCTGTATGATTCTGAATACTCTGTTTTTAAATAATAAGAAAGACATCTTATTGTGCCTTTGCATAATTTCATGTTTAATTGAAATCCAAGAATTAATTCAAATATAAATTTTAATGAATTTAACTGTAATAGCAAACCAAAGATTTTTTTCTTTATCGTGTTACATCCCTTTCTGAAGATTTCCTCTTCTCCTTATGTAAAATCACCTGGCTTATGCTCATAAATGAAAGATGCACATCGATTTGTACTACAGCTCATAGTTGATAAATGATCTCATAGTTCTCTTCACAAAATTCACAACTGGTGAAATACAGTGTTCGTACTTTCTTTTAGTGAATCGTTTTCATGATTTACTTTGAAATTCTCTCTCAAGTGTTTTTTTTTGTATATATTGAGATTAAACAAGGAGTTAAAAAATGTTTAAATACCTGCAAAATTGTATAATTACATTTCATGCATTTCACACAAAAGTAAATCACTAGAAGTATTTGCATTCCAGGTTCTTTTGGGAAACATTTTTTTTAAGTAAAAAGACATGTTTTGCAGTTAGTATTTAACTCAAGCAATTCTTTTATTTTAAAAGTCTATTTAGTGAAATAATAATTTTTATATTTTCACAGTGTGTCAACTGTTTTCATTTTCCTCAACTAAAGTAGTCAAGTGTTATCGGACTAGTTCAAGAAGTAACCAAGGAAACCTTATGTAATAACTTTACATTCTTTCTCCATACAAACTCTAATCAGTGCCCTAAATTCTAATGTGGTAAACCTCAAGTGGCACTGCCTAACATAAATAAGACTCAAATCAAGAGACTCAGTGGTATGCGTTTTTAAGTTCTAGTTTAGATGCTTAGATTTACTCAACAGCCTAATGTTTATTAATAAGATTATCTTTGAAATTATTCAAGACCATTATGCCCCTCCCAATTGCTTGTGATTTGTAGGCCTATTGAATTGGTATATTCTAATATGACAGGTAAGGTGAAATTTCAGATAATATCATAATACCCATTTTTTATTCCACACTAATGTCATAGAGCATATGTATTTTTGCTTTAAATGGTAATCATTCTATGTACTAATAAGGTGTATTCCACACTTAATTATTTGTATCTGTTAGTCAAGGATTGAGTATTCCAGGCAAGCCCTTTTAACCCTTAATCTTCATGTACTCTTATTGGTAATAAATTTAATAGTATCTTTACTGTGCTTGGAGGCATCTTTAGGAAATCACAAAACACTCAGAAACATTAAAACCCAGGGTGAACATTCAGCAACCTCTCTGAAAAAACTGCTAGTTCCAATAGTGAAACTACCAATATTTACTTGCCTGTTTAAGATTAGTTATAGAGGTTGTTGTTAAAATGGAAGGAGAGAGAGTAACATTGTGATGCAGCCCTAATATGGAAAGTCGTTTTTGTAAAAGCCGTAACTAGTGATTACATCCACCATGTGTTTCGCACATTGCAAAATCCCCAATAACCACTACCTCTATTTTAAAGGACTGCAAATTAAAATGTTATATATATGATAAAATGTTAATCAATTCAGTAGACAATCTAGAGGTAAAAAGCATTGGACTCATTAATTCAATGGTGTAGTCAAGACCCACATATAAAACAGGTTCTCTAGGCAA